GATGGTCTATTTCTTCTTCTTTCATGTCTTGGTAGTTTGTAAGTTTCCAGGAAGGCATACATTCCTTCCATGTTGTTTAACCTGTGGGCATATAGTTGCTGGTAATAATTTCTAATAGTTGTTTCTATTTCCTTGGTATTAGTTGTGATCTCTCCCCTTTCATTCATGATTTTATTACTTTGGGTCCTTTCTTTTTTCTTTTTAATACATTTGATGAGTGGTTTATCGATCTTATTAATTCTTTCAAAGAACTAGCTCCTTGTTTCATTGATCTGTTCTACTGTTTTTCTGCTTTCTATTTCATTTTTCTCTGCTCTAATCTTTTCCCCCAAAGATACAGATGTAGTGAAAAGAAGGGCCACCTGCACCCCATTGTTCATAACATTGTTCACAATAGCCAAACTGTGGAAGGAGCTGAGATGCCCTTCAACGGATGAATAAAGATGATATGGTCCATATTTACAATGGAATATTATTCAGCCATCAAAAAAAGATGAATCCCCACCATTTGCATCAACATGGAATGAACCGGAGAGGATTATGCTAAGTGAAGTAAGTCAAGCAGAGAAAGAAAATTATCATATGGTTTCTATCATATGTGGAACATAAGGAATAGCATGGAGGCCACAGGGGAAGGGAGGGAAATTTGAAGATGGAGAAATCAGAGAGGGAGATGAACCATCAAAGACTATGGACCCTAGGAAATGAACTGAGGGTCTCAGAAGGAAGGCAGGTGAAGGAAGGGGTAACAGGTAATGGATATTAAGGGGGGATACATGTTGTTATGTGCACTGGGTGTTATATGTAATTAATGAATCATTGAACACTACATCAAAAACTAATGGTATACTATATAGTGGCTAACTGAACATAATAATAAAAAAATTAAAAAATAAAAAAATCTATTTTTTCTGATATAAGTATGGCTACTTTTTTGATGTCCAATAGCATGATAAATAGTTCTCCATCTCCTCACTTTCAATCTGTAGGTGTCTTTAGGTCTAAAATGAATCTTTTGTAGGCAACATATAGATGGGTCTTGTTTTTTTATTCGTTCTGATACCCTACATCTTTTGACTGGAACATGTAGTCCATTTACACTTAGAGTAATTATTGATAGATATGAATTTGGTGCCATTGTATTACCTGTAAAATTGATGTTCCTGGAGATTAACTCTGTTCCTTTCTAGTCTTTGTAGCTTTTGGTCTTTCTTTCACACTCAGTTTGTGTGTGTGTGTGTGTGTGTGTGTGTGTGTGTGTGTGTGTGTATACTTTGCAGACTGGTTTAGTCATCACAAACTCCTTTAGTTTTTTGTTTCTTTGTTTGTTTGTTTTTGTCTTGAAAACTCTTTTCCTGTCCTATTCTGAATGACAGCCTTACTGGATAAAGTATGCTTGGCTGCACATTTTTCCCATTCTGCATGTTTAATATATCATACCACTTTTTTTCTGGCTTGCCATGTTTCTGTGGCTAGGTCTGGTACAAACCTAATCTTCCCTTGTAGGTTAAGGACTTTTGCTCTATTGTGGCTTTTAGGGTTCTTTCCTTATCTCTGTCTTTTACTAATTTTGCTACAATATATCTTGGTGTTGGCTTGCATTTGTTGATTTTGATGGGAGTTCTCTGTGTTTCCTGGATTTGGATGTCTGTTTCTTTCCCCAGAATAGGGGAGTTTTCAGCTATAATTTGCTTAAATCACCCCCCTCCACTTTTTCCTCTCTTCTTCTGAAACTCCTATGATATGAATGCTATTACAGTTTATGGAGTCTGAGTTTCCTAAGTCTGCATTCGTGATCCAATATTTTTTTTCCTCTTCTTCTCAGCTTCATTATTTACCATAATTTTATCTTCTATATCCTTACTCATTCCTCTGCTCTTCCTATCCTTGTGGTCATTACACCAGTTGGTTTTGCATCTCACTTATAACTATTTTATTTTATATTTTACTTTATTTTTTAGCATGGCTAATGTTTAGGTTTTTTATAACTGTGGTAAGGGACTTCCTGGTGTCTTGTATGCTTCTCTGAAGCCCAGATAGTAATCTTATGATTGTTGTTTAAAATTCAGATCAAGCATATTACTTTTATGTGTTTAGATTAGATTCCTGGCTGTGACCTCTTCTTGTTCTTTCTTTTTGTTCTTTCTTTTGGAATCAATTCTGCCATCTTGACATATCATCTAGGTCTCTGTCTTCAGTGTGTTAGGAAAGCCTGCTATGTCTGCTGCTCCTGAGAGTAATGGCTTTATGATGAAGAGGGCTTATACTGTTCAGGGCCTGGCACTTCAGAAATTGTTTCTGGTATATGCTTTCTGCACTGCTGTTGTGTTTTAGCTGCTCTTTCCCTCAGGTCAGTCTTCTGCAGAATTTCTATTTGCCTGCAGTGGGGAGTGTTTGAACCTTGTCCACTGTGTGATGAGTTTTAACTAGTTGTGTTTTGATCTGCTTGTTAAAAAAGGCTAGATCCTATTTACCTTAGAGCTGAAGCTTTGCAGAGCTCTATGGTCAGTAGAATTGTGTGTGTGTGTGTGTGTGTGTGTGTGTGTGTGTTGGTCTTCTGGGTTAGGGTTCTGCTGCCCTAATTCTCAGACAGCTTTGCCCTAGTGGAACTGCACCTGCAGGGCACAGTGGCATTGTGCTTGGTGTTAGTGGCTCCAGCCTCCACCAGGAGCACTGTATTTCTCACTGAAGTGGGTCAGTGACATCAGCCCACTCTCTTGTCCCCAGAGTGGGACATTTACATCTGCCACTATTCAAAAAGGACCTCATAGAAAAGCAGACAATCTCCCCTCTTGTGTCCCTGGCTTCTGTCAGACCCCTGCCTTTGTCCTGTTTGTGTCCAGGTTGTCTGTCCACCTGGAAGCACAGTGCTCCTGTGTTTTATCTCAGGCATGCTGCCTAGGCTTCAAACTCTAAATTTTAGGGAACTGGCAGGGCACAGGCCCATGCTGGTCCTCTGGGGGAGGGTCTCACAGTGCTAGGACTAGTACTGGTTTGTTCCCAAAAGCAATTGCAAGAATGTGCAGGAGTTCAGAGTTTAGAGTAACATCCAGCAAAAAGCCAGTGTCCATGCTGGCTCTCCTCAGAAGATGTCTCTGCTCCTATGCTAATGAACAGAAGTCACTGGTTCTTTTGTCCCCAGAGGGGCCATGCCATCTCTCCAAAATGCACTCCAAGAGGGGCATTTTTCTCTCCTAGTGCAATCCAGGGGATTCTCAGACCATGCTCCCTGCTCCTGGCCTCCACCCTCCTTCTTCACAGGAATGTTTCTACACCCACCAGGCTCCACCCTGGTGATGGCATGGACTTCTAAAACATGAGACTTTGAGTTCCATTTCTTATAAGAACTTGCAATAATAAGCCCCTCTCATTTTTCCCATTGATGATTTTGGGGAAGTGTTTTTCTTGTGCAATGCACCCTGTTCTCTCTCTCTCTCTCCTTTCTACCTGATCAAGGCTCCCTCCCCCTGCAGTTTCCATGACTCTTTTTCTCCCCTCTAAATCACTTCTCTGCACCTCCCATCTTCCATGATGTGTCTCCTTATCTCCCCCTAGTTATGCAGTTTATTCTTTCAATCTTCAGATAGATTTCTTAGGTGTTCAGAAGGATTTGATATTTATCTAGCTGTGTTAGGACCGAGGCAAGCATACGGTCCCCCTATTTCTCCACCACCATAACTCCTCCCCTGTTTAGGGGTTGTTATTCAACCTAACACATTTCATTTTCTTCTCGGAGATTGCCCTAACTTCTTGTAAACCAAAATGAAATGGAAAATGTGCTTTATACAGGAGCTAGTTATTTTGTTGTGGAAGACCCCTCAGAGTCTAATCTACCACACTGCCAGAGGCAGAAGTCCCCTTATAGTTTTTACACAGTTTTCCCAGGCTCCACTTGAAACCTGTAGACCCAGTGTCCCTGAAGTTAGGTGGAAGAATCTATATTTTATTTTATTTTTTTTAAAGATTTTACTTATTTGACAGACAGAGATCACAAGTAGGCAGAGCAGCAGGCAGAGAGAGAGGGGGAATCAGGCTCCCTGGTGAGCAGAGAGCCCAATGTGGGGCTCAATCCCAGGACCCTGGGATCATGACCTGAGCCGAAGGCAGAGGTTTAACCCACTGAGCCACCCAGGCGCCCCAAGAATCTACATTTTAAAACTACTTCTGAGGTGATTATTATAATAAACCAGAGTTAAGAATTTCTACTTCATAACTTGTTCATATCCAGCAAGTGAGACATATGGGAGGTCAGAGCTGACACAGAGGAGGAGCCAAGGCTGTGGTTCCTGGCTCAGTTCCTGGTAACACTGCCTTTCCCTTCATGCCTACAAAGTTCCCAGTGGCCTTCTGCCATTTATTAGTAACCTTAAGTTGGCCTTCCTATGTGAACTTACATGTCAACAGAGACTTAACACTGTAGAATTAGAGCTTATCTACCTACTTCAATCTAGCTTGTCTTTTAAGGGCATTGCAAAAAAGTCTTTTCTGGTTGAAAACTTTTATGATCCATCTCTGACAAGTATAGAAATATGATATCTATTCTCTTCACATTTTTATAACTCTTGGAATCTTGTACAATATTTTCTCAACCAGATGCTCTTGTAGGGTAGGGGCCATGTCAAATTCATTATCACAGCCCTGTATCCCTTAATCCATCATGTCAATAGTGATTGAAAGGGACACAGAACCTAATTGCTCAGGAAGGTTTTATTGGTGCATTAGGATAGATGGGATAATAGACAGAAGGAAGAGATAAAAGTAGCTCTGAAACCCCCACAAACTGAGGAGAGTTTGGCATAAATGGGTGACTGGCTCTGTGTCTTCCTGTTCCTGAGGGCGTCTGCACAGCAGAGCAGCTCAGAGAGGAGTTTAGGATAGAAAGCACCTTGCAGAAAAGTTTTCATTGAGAAAGACCTAAGAGAGAAATACCATGATTAAGAACTAATGTCCAGAGACATGCCAATTGGACTGGTCAGGGCAGGACAAACCAACCCCTCTGCAGCTGTCTTCTTCCAGTACTGAACACTGGAGTCCAGGTCTGGGATATTCATGGCTTGTTGCTCTTGAAGTAGGAATATAGCCCCCTGGCTGTGAAGCCTCGCTTCCCTTCTGGCTGGGCTGCTTCCTGGCCCTGGGCTGAAGGTATGCCAGTGTGCAGGCTGCCCTGCCCCTGCCTTGGGATCTCCATCTCCCTTGTGTGGTCATCCACCCACTCCTGGGTAACCACTGTGGGTTCTCTCTCTCTCTGCCCACCTGTCACAGTGCATCTTGGGTGAGTGCTGCTCCAGTCCTGTCTGCCTGTCAGAGTGTTTGTCCCAGCCTGGGCATGTCCTCCCAGCTTTTTCTCTCCTGCCTCATAGTGGTTCACTTATGTCCATCTGTGACCACTGCCTGACTGTCTCTGGGTCTGTCCCTCATTTCTATCTCCTATGTCACTTGCATTGTGGCTCCTGTCCTGCTCCATGGCCTGGGTGTGTGTCTGGGTTTGTGACACTGCCTGTGTCTGAATCTGTTCTCCTGTCACCACTTCACTTGTATGGCACCTGTTTTGACCCTGGACCTTGGACCCTCTGGTCTGGCCATGGGAGGACTCCTGTAGCTGTGTGTCAGGGCTTCCTATCTGATGGTTCCTGTCTAGTTCCATGGCCTGGGTGGCACCTCCCAGTGTCTGAACACGTTCTCCTGTCAGTATCTGGCTTGCCTGGCTCCTGTCTTCACCCTGGACCTCAGACCCTCTGCTCTGGCTGTGGGAGGACTCCTGTAGCTGTGTGTCAGGGATTCCTATCTGATGGCTCCTATCCTGATCCACATTCTGGTTTGCATCTGTCTGGGTCTGAGTTCCAGTTCTAGTCACTAATTCACTTGTCTGCTGTGCTCTGTCCTGTTCCCTGGTCTGTGACTGTCTCTCTGACTCCCTCTGTCTGGTCTGGTGACTCTTGTCTTCTCCCACTCTCTGGGTCTGCTGCACATGTCTCCGAGCTTGTGTCTGCTGACTTTCTTTCTCTTGTCTCTGAGATTCAGACTGCCTATCCTGGCCAAGATCCTGAGCATGGTTCTGAGCCCCAACACCTGCCTGTCCCCTGGAGGCCAGAGTGTGCTGTACACATTGGCTCCTCTCGCAAATCTGTCCTTCCCTAGTCTGCCCCACCTCAGCTCTCTTGCTCTGTTCTTTCCTCAGCTCTTGTGAGGCCCCAGTGGGGAGGCTTCCAGACTCTGGAGATCCACAAGTCCCCTCAGGACTCTCACTCATTGTCTTGAAACAGGTTTGGGTGACTTTAAACACCAGGATCAGGAATTCCTTGAACTCCACAATCCCTGTATCATCTTCATCCAGCAAGTGCAGGACTTCATCCACAGTGGCAGGATCATGGGGTTTCTGTGGAGAAGAGACCAAGTCAGCATCCCTCACCTGAGGAAGGTGTGGTTGGGCCAGTGCACTCAGCTTTCAGGCTTCCCAACCCTGAACTTGGGAGTCCATCTGTGCTGGCTCCATACCACTCACATAGCTACAGCAGCCCTAACATGAAACCATTTTCAGTGTGCCGTCCTGCCCCTCTTGCAAGGGTAGAAAGCACTTTTTTTTTTTTTTTGTATCATCTGTGCTTGGCATAATTCCTGGCCTCCAGGAGAACTGGATCAAGATTCAATGAAGAATGAATAAATGATTGAGCTTATAATGAGTCTTTGGGCTGTCCTCAGTCCCTGACCCCTGGCATTGAGCAGGATGCTCTCCAGCAAACCCAACACCAGGAGAAACACAGCAGGAACATAGCCCAAAGGGAATTCTGTGAGATCCACGCTGAGGCTAAGGTGCTTTCTGAAAATGGGGTGGGTGGGGTCTGGTGGGACCACAAGTTGCCCTGAATATGCATCCTGTGTGTCTATACATTCCTGTCTCTAAGACCATCATCCTGGTTGCTTTAGGTAAACCAAAGACAGGGAGGGACAGGGAAATGCCTCAAGGTCCTAGGTCTGCTTTGTCAGTGGTTGGAGAAGTGGGGAGGGGATCTTAGAGTGTACCCCCATCTGATAATAACCAACCTGTCCTTCAAAACTCATTTCTGATGTGAACACTCAACTAATATTTTTGAGCAACTGCAAGATACTGAACTATGCCTCTAATGCATTCTTATTAATGGGTGATCAAATTTCTGATAGACATAGGAAGTAGTTACTATATTAGATTTAAGAAACACCAGAAAGCAGCAATTACTTTCATTTCTAGAATCTTCAAAGGCTCTGTTTCTTTCTGAGCTGTCCCCTGTGAGTTATTTCACCTTGTCTCCAAATTAGAATTAATTGAAATAAAGGTATTTTCTCTAAGGACCTGACCTGTGAACTGCTGTGACTGTCTCTTGCTCCTTTGCCTTTCCTTTCTCAGCCTGCAGAGCTGCCAGGAGGCCCAGTGGGCCTGGATCCAGCGACTGCCACCTCAGATTCCTGAGGCAAAGCATCTGCAGGCAAATCTGTTTCATCTCTCCTCTCCTGCCCTCCCCACCTGGCCCGGCATGTCATACCACAATGACATCAGCAAACTCATGTTCCACGAGCCTTTTCAGCTCCCCCCGGGTAAGAACTGGGCAGCTGCCCTCAGTCCTGGCGTAGCGCCCAAAGGCTTCGATGATCCCATTTATGTTCCGCAATAACTGAGGCATATTTGGACTCAGGCTGGAGAAAGAAACAAAGCCCCCTTGGGGGCTCCAAAGTCAACTTTAGTGTTTCCTCCTGCTTCTTCCCGGTCTTTTCTCGCATATTCAGCTCTGCTTCCCATCTCTCTCTTTCTCTCCCTTTTTATTATGTTATTTTAGTCACCATATAGTACATCATTAATTTTTGATGTAGTGTTCCATGATTCATTGTTTACATATAACACCCAGTGCTCCATGCGATCTGTGTCCTCCTTAATACCTATCACCAGGATCACCCATCTCCACGCCTCCTTGCCCCCCACCTGCTCCCTCCCCTCTAAAACCCTGAGTTTGTCTTTTGGAGTCCATAGTCTTTGGTGGTTTGGTGTTTCTGTCTGGGTCTTCCCATTTCCTTTCCTACTTAATGGATTTTATGAATGGGAAGGAGAGACACCCTGTGATTAACAGCAGGCTACAGAATCAGGACTTCTATGCTACCTTCACCACCTACCTGGTGAGCTAGGGCAGGTGGCTTTGCCTTTCCATGCCTTGGTTTACTAATTGTGAAATGATGATAATCCTATCAAATATATACTTTATAGGATTATTGTGAGGATTAAAAGAGATAATTCATATAAAGCATTTGGCAGAGGCTGGCTTATACTAAGTGGCAGCTATTAAATATCATTATGATGTTATTATACACATACCTAATATTTGTACATCTACATAAACTACTGCTCACAAAGCACTTCCATATGCATCATCCCTTGTACTCCTTATATCTCCACTTTTTTTTTTATAGGTGACAGATTCAGAGAAGTTAGATGATTTGTTCAAGGCCCCACAGATTGGGGGAACCAAGAAACACAAGGACCCATATCTCCTTAACCCAAATGCAGTGAATCTTCTATACTGTACCCTGTGGACAGTCTATCCAGTCAATGGTTGCCTGTCATATGGTGTAGGGTGCTGCTGCGAACACTGACAGGCAGTAAGTACATATGTAAGTCAACCCCTTGCCAAGCAGGAACACCAGGGGACTGACTCCACCTTTTCTTGCTGCCTTTTGGGTAGGTGTTCAGGAAGAGGCTAGGCTACCAGCTATTGGCAATATTCCCAGCCCTAAGTTCCTCTAAATGTGACATCTGTCCTCAGCACTGAGACCTGTAAGGGAAGTCAGTTTGCCCATAGGTAGGTGGCTCCTGCCAGCTCACAGTGTTGGTGGCCTGGGAGGAATGGCTCCCAAATGAAGGGAGAGATTTTCCTTCTCATTAGCCAGGGATCTGGGCATAGCCTGAAGTGAGTCTTGGGTGCAGCTGAATGGGCAAAATACAAAGGGACGTGGAGGTGCATTGAAGCAAAAGTCTCAGAGACCAGGACATGGCATCAGAGATGGCAAGTTTCAAATGCAGGGGGATAAAGATGGCTGCGAAGCTGGGACACTAGGAGAGGGCATCATGAGTTGAGAAGGAGAAGGCATGAGAGAAAGAAGGCCTGGATGCAGAGTTGAGAGAAGGAAGGCCTGGGTACAGAGGCAGGAGAATGAAGGGAGGCAGGAAGGAGGGAGACTTGGCACTGGGGAAGGTGGAAAAATGTGGCTGAAGGCTACAGGTCCCAGGTGGGCTCTTCAGGGGGTGTTCTTTCTACCCACCCAGTAGCCAAAAATTTCAGGCAGACTTTGCTTTTGTACATCAAGGTACAAAACTCAGAATATTGTACCCCAACAGAGAAATGCAAAGATCCAATTTTTTTGTTGTTCACCATATGGCAAACCTTAACGCTGACCTATAAATAGTAAAAATAATATGACTTTTTAGTTATACTTCAGATCCCTTTGGATAAATCTGTAAACTCATCTTGCCTAAATATGGTCCTCAGGTGGAGGAGGACAACCACATAAGCCACTTCCTCTGTGACAAGTTTCAAGCCCATTGTCAGGTTGGCAGGAGTAACCTGACCTCTTAGACTCTCTGAGCAGTGCAAAGAGGCTTCTAGAACATTAAGAATAAGACACCTTTGATGTACAGAAAGGCACATGGGTGGTTCCATTGCTGCTGCTAAAACAGGTTTTGGTGGGAGAAGCTGCGGCCAGGCTAACTACAGGGGAGAAGGAAAGAGCGCCATGGCTTCAGAAGAGCATCCTCTCCCACATGCACACACCCAGTCGTCAGAGCAGATACTTTCTGCCCACACTTGGCACCACAGGGCTGTGGCCTGGATCTGACAGCCTGGTTTTATGAGCTCAGATCACTAAGACACAGAATGAGAAAGAGGATTCTTAGGAAGGCACTTACCTAATGCACAGACAAGATGAGCAAGTGGCAGTTAGGCGACGTATGGAGTACCAGGTCAGCAGCACAGGAACCTTTTGTAGGGGATTTAATGGAAGCTAGTGTTTTAGAAAGGCCATCCCCACCCCATGGGAAGGATTGATTCATACGAGGCTTGGCCCAGCCCAGCCTCACTTCCCTTCTTGTCTGTTTCACCTGCTGACACGTGGCTGTTTTAGCTTAATGAGCAGGCCCTCTTACTACCCTCGGTGCCCTTCCTGATTCCCTCCTTGGGTCTGTCTCCTCATATGAGGGAAACTCTTTTCTGTTGTGATGGGCTCAGCAGTGCTTGGCACAGGTCGGGGCTGGTGAACACTCTTCGTCTCCATGTGACTGCAAAGCCATGGACTCCTTTTTTTTTTTTTTTTAATTTTTAAAGGAAAAGTGAATTGGGGGAAATGGAAGGGGAGATGAACCATGAGAGACTGTGGTCTCTGAGAAACAAACTGAGGATTTTGGAAGGGAGGGGGGTGGGGGGATGGGTGAGTCTGGTGGTGGGTATTAAGGAGGGCATGTATTGCATAGAGCACTGGGTGTGATGCATAAACAATGAATCTTGGAACACTTAAAAAATAAAATAAAAGTAAAAAAAATACTAAAAAAAAAAAGAAATTTCCATCTATTGAGGGCTATACTTTTCACTTTGGGAAGCTACACATGTTTATCTGGCAATGTTGCCATTACTTAGAACATTCTTAGAATTCTTGTTTTGGAATTGCCTCTTGTGCCAAGTTCATGAGTCATGCAAGACATTCAATATCATTTCTTTTTGGTTGGGTCTCATTTTTTTATTAAAAAAAGGTTATCAAGCAGAGAAAGTCAATTATCATATGGTTTCACTTACTTGTAGAACATAAGGAATAACATGGAGGACATTAGGAGAAGGAAAGGAATAGTGAAAAGGGAGAAATCAGAGGGGGAGATGAACCATGAGAGACTGTGGACTCCAAGAAACAGGGTTTTAGAGGGGGTGGGCGTGGGGAGATGGTTGAGCCTGGTGGTGGGTATTAAGGAGGGCACATATTGCATGGATCACTGGGTGTTATATGTAAACAGTGAATCTTGGACCACTACATCAAGAACTAATGATATACTGTATGGTGATTAACATAACACACACACACACACACACACACACACACACGAGTTTAATACCTCCATCTTATGGGTAGGCACCATTTTACAACTGGTGGGAGAAGAGGCTTAAGATAATTAAGTGCAATCCTTTCATTGAAAAGACAGGGAACTCAACTGGTCAACCAATCAGCAAATATTTATGGAAAGCCTATTCTATTTCAGACATAGGGCTAGGCCTGAGGGAAACTATGGTACAGGATGCCAGCAGTTTCTACTCTTACAAGTTTGTCACCTGGCAGTCCCAGGAGAAAGTCCTCAAGAGATTAACAGTACTGGTAATTACTGCTTGATTTACTTTGATTTGATTTAATTTTCATTACCACCTCATTTCATTGGATCCTCATAACTAACTTGGTGGCTTATGTAAATGAAGGCACCAAGAACCCTTACAGAAGTAGTTACTCTGAAGAATAGATGGGCCTCAGTTCTGGCCTCAGTTCCCCTCTATTACAATGTGGCACTTTATAAACATCAAATTTTTCTGTGGGTGAAGAACTATCATCCTTGAAGTTGATGAGAAATAAACATTCTGAGCTTGAAGCCAAGTCCCAAAGGAGCTCCTGACACACATTTTTGCAGAAAGTACATGTAGTTTCTGGAAAGGATTCTTTGCAGTCCTCACTTGTCTGCATGCAGCCCACAGGAAAGGCAATGACAATCAGGACGGGAAGGTGCAGTAAGGGTCTTGGCTGCAAAGACTGACAGAGCGAAGGCAAGTCCCAGTGAGAGGAGCAGAGTGAGATGCAACCTGCAGGAGGGCCATCTGCATGGAGAGGGGCTGCTCCAGTCCCTGGTGGGAATCCCATCCCAGAGGCTGTTATGGTAACTGGTCAGTTCAGAGAAGGTCAGTGTGAGAGGGAGGTTGGGGAACAAGAGGGGTCCTGCAGATTAATTAGATCCTCCTTCTGTGAGTGGTGTGCTAAGCTTTATCTGAAGGGGCTTTGAACCTCCAGAAATGTTTGGGAATTAAGGGAAAGTAAGTTTGGGAAGTAAGCCAAGTGCTTTATCTATGAGGTAACTCTGAGGTAGGTATCATTACATCTAATTTACTGATGAAGAAACTGAGGTACAGAGATGTTAAGTAAACTACACAAGGTCACATACCTAGAAAGCGTTAGAGTTAAATTTGAAGTTAGGTCTGCCTGCCTCCAAAGCCCATGTGTTTTCATGAGGCAGGACAGAGCTTTGGGAAGTGGCTGGCAGGGGTGGGTGGGGCTGGGGGGGATAAGGGTGTGTGATGGTCGGGACTGACAGGCTCTGAAGATGTAAAAGTATTGTCTGTGAAGTTTGTGAGGAGTTATTACAAATAAGTGACTTTGTAGTCACATCCCTTGGGTTTGGGAGGCAGAGAGAGGTCAAGGACCCTGTCTGAAGTTGAATTGAACTCTTATCCTATGTTCACTTTGCCTTGGAATAAACAGAAATATCTCAACAAAACAAATTCAGTTTTACACTGTGATTCCTTCTTACACACTCACTCAGAAATCTTTACTGATGTTCACTTCATTTATATTTGTTTTTTTTATTCACCATATAATAAGCACAACATTTGTTTTT